GAAGTATGAAATGATTAGATGGTTATTGTCTTGATTTGTAGCCTAGTTGATTTGAGCTTGTTAGTCCGTAGGGGTATTTGAACGCCTAATGCCCTAAAGCCGTCTAGTTTGGGAGTCATTGACCTAACGCTCAACCTCATGAATCGCTAGAAAGCTTAATAGATCAACACATTGCACTATACTTCCATCTTTGATCCTATAAAAAAATAATAATAAAAAAAAAAGCGCACCTAGAACAATAAAGCTTTAATAAAAGGTCCATTTTTTGTCTTGATGATCGGTACTAGATTTGTGTGCTAGTTTGAGGGTAAGGATGTGATTAATTCTTTAGTTGGCTAAGATAGCAACACATTTGATGCCGGTCCACTCAAAAGGATTCTAGAGTTGTTTTGATTTACATGATCATTTTCTTGATGTGTGGAGGACCATACTTGTTTGTTTGATGTTGAGATTTTGGGAGATTACTTGGAAAGGGTTGAAAAATTGCATACTTGAGGTAGTTTTCTCCCAATGCTTGTTTGCAATATTGGTGCCTCTTTTGAAAGAATGAGCTTAATGTTTGTGGGTACCATTTCTAGAAACCCTCACGAGACTTCACTCGTCCACTAGGTGTAACCTAGGGGTTTAAAAGGCTTGTTGCAGCTGCTAAGTGCAATCATGTTCCCTACGAAAGTGATGTTATCCATTTATTGTTTTCTAGTTCATAGTTGTATAGTTGTTCATTTCATTCATTTACTTTCTAGTTCATTGCTAGGGACTAGCAATATTTAAGTTTGGGGGTGTGATAAGCGCTGAAAAGTGCATATTTAAACCCCTTAAGCTTAGGTATTCTAGTACCTTTATCTGTCTTACTTTACCATTTTAGATTGATTTCGTATTATTTCCATTTTCAGGCACTTATCCCGAAAATAAGCTAACTCAGCCAACTAAGAGCTTAATTGAAGCAATTTTGGGATTAAACAAAGAAAGGAGCAAAGTGGAAAAAGAGGGAAACAAATGAAGCCAAAGGTGACAAGTAGCAAAGTTCGATTAATCCAAGTATAAGGTTCGATCGATCGAACAATGATCGATCTCAGCACTTCAAGATAGATCCAAGCCTAGACCCAAAAGCATAAAGTCCCAAAAGTTTGATCGATCCAACACCATCCTTCGATGGATCGAACACTTTTGTCCTTATTCAAATGATTGATCCTATCCATAGCTGTACCACCCACTAACCACTTTTGTCTTTTTCCCATAAATATCTCTCCAAAATATCTCGGATTTGTCTTTTCCCAAAAAGGTCAACTAGTTGGATCGATCCAGCCTAAGTTCGATAGATCTCAGCCGGTTCGATTGATCCAAGTCTAAGGTTCGATCGATCGAACTTCCTCCGGTGCGAAAAAATTTAAATTCCATCTCATTAAAAGTTGTCCTTTATCCAATCATTAGGGAATATTGTGTGCATAACCCCAGCTCATTTTGGGTGTCATTTTGACCTACTTATATAAGGATAAGGATTGTTTTTTACAAAGGGAGCCAATATTATTTTTCATATCATCTCTTGGAGAGCAAGCTTAGAGGAGGAGGAGGCTAGAGACAACATTGGAGTTCTTCATCAACAAAGAGCATATTTCAACCAAGGAATTTGCCCTTGAGGGTTAGAGCAACATCACCATGAGTGGCTAGACATCCTCTTGGGGCTAGAGTTAGCCCCGAGCATGCTTTCTATATCTTAATCTTGTGTATTATTGAAGGATTAGTGTTGTAATTGATATTTTGACACTTTGATATATATAGATCTTGTTTATTCAATGATTTATGTGGTTTAATGCTTCCAATTAATCATTTCATTCTATCCATATGTCTATGTATGCTAGAATAGATGTTCATGTGCTTGTCTCTAGATTTTGTGTTATCGATGCACGTCTATGTGTATTGATGATATAGATTTGGAGATTGTCAAAACATAGTGCTTAAAGGAATGCTTTTGTGATTCTCTTCATGGTTCATACTTATCTCTTGATGGATTATGCCTCTCCCCTAGTTTATTTTTATGCTAGTAGTGTAGATGTAATGTAGTTATAGTGTAGTGTTAAATAGGAGGACAATCTATGCTTGTTTGATGATCCAAGCTTTTGAATGCAAGTAGCATATGTCTCTAACCTTGTGTTGTATTTGGATTGTGAGCTTAATGAACGGATTAATGACTTGTTTTGATTTATTGTGCCTTTCACATGTTGTTTAGATAATATATGCTTCATTGCTTAGATATATTGTGCCTTTCATATGATATTTAGACAATACATGCTTAACTAGTCATCCTTACTTGTTGAATCAACCAAATACACTCACACTAATATTGCAACACACCATTTGCCCTCATTAATCACTTGTCAATGATATAGAAATGCATTGCTTGGTGGTGATCTCTACACCGCAAGATCTTTCTCTCTCTTACTTACTCTTAATTACATTCTTTTGCTATCACTTAGCTTAATTTAGTTGCTCTTTAATCAACCAACCAACCAATTGTTTGATCACCCAACCTACAAGCCCTAAAAACAATTCCACGACATTGCTCGATCCTCACAGTCCCTTGGGATGATCCCTACTCGCCCTAGCTATATTTATAGTGAAAGGTAGTAGTGGCTTCTATAAATGTAAAACTCTTGGCCCTCACCTTAATGCACACTCTTAAGCTTATGGTAGGACGACCACCACACACCCTATGAAAATCACAACTTGACTTCAACCTCAAACTCAAGAAATGGTCGGAAATGAATTTTAATAAGGGGGAATGGTAGAGCACGTCGAGGGGAACGATAAATGTAAAGGCCGAAGAGTTTTCACTTAGGAAAGCAAGTGGAGGAGAAGGAGAAAGAGTGGCAGCCAAGGAGCTCCCATGGCTGCCGGCCAAAAGAGTGGAGAAGATGAGTGAAAATCTGATTTTTCACTTTAAGGTATCCTATTTATAGTAAGTCTCAAAAACTGCCCCGAAAGGGCCCTACCGGGTCTGGAAAAGTGGATGTTGAGCAAACGCGCTCAAACGGAAAAACTCCGTGTATGAAAAAGATTCAAAATGAGAAAATATAAACAACGGAAGAAACAGAGTCAAAAACTGAGTCCCAAGCAGAAAGATATGCCTCGAACAAGTTCGACAGCAACCGGGTCCAAAAACTCTGAAACTGGAGAAAAATGACCAGAAGGAAATTCTAAGAGTCCACGACTCAACGAAAGGTGAAAATGAATCCCATATAAGGATCTAGGCTCCAGACGAGACATTTTGCAATAAATTTCGTTAATTGCACAATTGTCGCTACAAAAAGGGTTAACTGCGAAACTGCCCCAGAATGAAAATATCTTCCAAAAGATATTTTCTTAGATGCCCTTGAAATAAAATATCTTCAAAAGATATTTTTGAAAAACACCCCAAGAAAAGAAAAAGATTCCAAAGAATTGTGCATCTATGCCCCTATGGACACTGGGAGCAACCAGAGTACTTTCTTGCAAAAGTAAGGATACGTATTTCGAGGAAACCACTGAAGAGGAAGACATGTGAAGTCAAAAACTAACTCTGAGCATGAAAATAAGGTTTTGCCAAATAAGTGACAAATGGGGAAAAGATAGAACAGGGAAAAAGACGAAATAAGGAAAAGGACGAAAGACGTATAGTGTCTGAAAAGTGAAAATGCATAAATGACTCGGTCCTCAAAAGAAGTTGTCAATCCACGGAAAGAAATCTCAGAAACCATTTCTAAGCACTCGAGACGACACTAAGCGACAAGAAACAGAGCTCAGAAAAGAAAATTAAATGGAAAAAATTTATCCGTAAAATTTCAGGAAAAAGGAAAGGGAGGTAAATGACCGGGTCGTTACAAGTAATATTACTAGGGGTCGACATTAATTACCGTAATTAATAATTATATATATATAATTACTTAAGAAACTTAAGATACTATTCGGAAACAAAGAAGTAAAAGCCCCTAAAGTCACTAAACCGAATTTTAGTCTCAATAAAAATCTTGAAAGGTTTAATAATCAACCCAAAGAAGTAACTATACAAGATCTCCAAGCTGAAATCAATACAATAAAAGCTGAGATCAAGAATCTAAAGTCTGAAAATCAAGTAATTAAAATTGATATTTCTGATCTTAAAACAAATCCTCCTTTTTCCTTTAATGAGAAAGATACTGATTCTGATGATGCAAGATCCACTAAGTCAGAAAGATCTACTCCATCTCAATACCTTCAAACCTTAAATAAGATATCATTCCAAAAATGGTATGCTAAGGTTACCCTTATCATCAACAAGGATTTCAGACTCGAAGTCATTGCTTTGATTGATACAGGCGCCGATATTAATTGTATTCAGGAAGATTTAATACCTACAAAGTATTATGAAAAAACTACTGAACAATTAAGTTCTGCAAATAGAAGTAAGATGGATATATAATTATATATATATATATAAATATATATAATTATATGTATATAAATATAATTAATTAATAATTATTATGGAAGGAAATATATATATATATTGATATAAATATATGTGTGTGTGTGTGTGTGTGTGTGGGTATAATTTAATTAGTTAAGGATTATTATGAAAGAAAATATACATATATATTATATAATATATGTGTATATATATTATTTAACATAATTATTATTTCTTTTATTTGGTAGTCCTAGTAGAAATAGCATGGTTGGATTTTAATGTGTATAAATATACACATAAGGCTTTAGGGTTAAAAGTTTACACGAATAAGAGAGGTAAAGAGAGAAGAAGAGAAGACTGACAAAAATGAGGCCAGATCAGAGAAAGAGGACGTCAGAATTGGAAGAGACAATCAAAACTTGAAGTGTTGGTTTTGTTTCGAAACCTTTAGAGCATCTCCAACCCACCTCTTATTTGGGCTTCCAATTCAAAATATGGCAGGTGGGCTTAAAATTGAGCTTTCCAATGTAATGCTATTTAGGTTACTATTTTTTAACTTTGCTATTTTTAACGCCAATTGTAGCAAAACAAATAGCAATTGCTGTATGTGGGCTGGGGCTACAGAAAATAAGGGATGGCTCCAATCTGGCTTGTATTTGTCTAGGGCAACAGAGAGAGAGAGAGAGAAAGAGAAATAGGAGAACGGTGGCCGTCAATCCATTTCTCTTTCAGATTTCATTGTCTAAGTTTGTTGCTAAAAACCGATTTGATTTGGTTTTTCATTGCATCTTTGTGGGAGTTAAGCCAGATACGGTAAGGTTCCTAGTGTTTTTGTATTGTTTATCTCAAATTTCCTGTGTAATTCATTGTTATCGAATCTGCGAACTTTTTTGTATTGATTGGTGTTTGGATTCAGTGAGTTTAGATTTCATTCGGGTTTCCATCTTGTGGCTAAATCTATGAGTTTGGATTTCATTTGGGTTTCAATCTTGTGGTCATGGACAGTAGAACAGGGTGTTGCATAAAGATGTGTTTGATTTATTTGATGGACTCTGTTATGTCATTTGATGAATTTATATACCGGACTCTGTCTATTCCTTTCTATTCGAAACTAATAATTAATTTTCTTTTATGCAACCCTTTGTAGCTTCTTTGATTGTCCACCATCATTTTTATAACTTGCAAAAGTTTTTATTTTTCAGTTTCTAAATTTATACAATTTTAATTGGTAAACCTGAGTAAAAAATGTGCATAAAAATGAACAAGAATGGATGGATTGTACAATACAAAAACCAAAATAACTTGCTCGATTATAGTAGACAGCTACCAAAAAAGAGGAAGAGTGATGTTTTCCTCAGTTTCCACGTTGGATGTTGCCAGGGCAAGAGGAACACTAAGCTGTCTAATGAGGTGATAAGGAAAAGAATGGTAATTTATTGTTTCTACAGAAGTTTTTGCGTTGGATAGTTTGATGCCTAACCATCTGTTTTGAAGTCATTGAATATTGAATTTAGAATTTTAGCCTTATTGCTTGCTTTGAAAGATTGAGATTGCTTTCTTTCTCTCCTTACTCCTCTCTCTTTATACTTCCTCTTATTTGTCTTGTTATCTTTCTTCTCTACCACTTCTACTATAACACAACTTGCTGTCTTCTTACTTTTTCCTTGGACCAAACTTGAACCATCTAAAACAATCTATAAACTCTGATTCTCTTTGCAAAGCTTTCACACATTTTATTAGTTTGATGTTGGAACTGAAGGATCCTATTTTACTCACATTAGCTATTTGATACAAATTGTTAAACAGACACTAGTAAGAAACAGCATGTTGAAAATGTGTGTCACTGAAGTGAGGATATTGATATGGATGAGTGGCATTACAAGAAAAGGAGATATAAACAAAAAGTTGAAGGTATCAGGAAGAGAAGAGACCGAAAAGGACGTGATTTAAGGCCGTGAGAAAGGGTATAATTGCCTTGAATTTAACAAAGCCAACTTAGGTGATGGATCCATGTACATGCCCCCAATTAATAACACAAGTTTCATGAATAGATTGATCAAGACTAAAAATCAAGAGAAGAAAATATTGAAAATAATTCCATTTGTGTTGTGTTGTATATGTAACATTTTTTTTATTTTATTACAGTGGGCACAAAACCTGATGACCTGAGGTAAGCAGAAGCTTATTATGTTTAGTTTTGTACAGACATGGAAGGTTGATGATATTAAACCAAAACTTGAATGCTGATTGAAGTTTTCATAAATTGGTGCATTTTCAGGTTGACAGTTTATTGATCGTCCCTGTTCTACTGTAGTAGGAAGAGGGTTGCTGGTAGCATTATATAACTCTAAATAATATGGCACATTGCAACTGGACCTGCACTATAGAAATGTGCCCTTGGTGTGTTTGCAAGGTTTCATCAATGTCTAATGGATCAATGAACTATTAAGATACAAGGTGTTGTGATTCACTCTACTTTATACTGTGAGAGACATCCTTCCCTGAAAGGAATGTGTGTAAAAATAAGCACTATTTAAGACATAATAATTAATATAATAAAGCATGTATTAGTTCTAGTTACCTAGGTGATTATTGTTTTTTATTACTACTGCTAAAATTGAATCATTCCTTGTTTACCTTGGTTTATGTATACTTGAGAAAGTAAAGGGTGAATGCTCTTGGAAATGATTAGAATTGATACTTTACTCTCATAATTTTCTGCATAAATATCGAGTATTTTAAGATGGTTAAGGAAGTTCAAGCCGATTGACTTTGAGCATTTGTTGTTGGTTACAAATGTTGCTTATAAATCCGGTTTATTGACCTAGATTTACTTGAAATTAAGCTCGTTTCATCACCTGGAATGACCTATCGATTAATTTTGGGAATGGTAGTTGAAAAAGAATGGTGGTTGTGTCAAAAAGTAGCATTTTACATGAAATACACCATTGGAGCAGAATTGCTAAAATGTAGCATTTTGACACTGTAGCGCTGTCAAAATATAGATTTGGCATCCGAATTTAGCATTTTATCATTCGAGATGCTCTTAGGCAAATTATTTTCTAACTCTGCTCTTAGAACTCATAAGGATTTCACCTTGAGTATCAGTGTTTAGATTAATTTTATTTGATTAAATCAGAATTAAATCGGAGTATTAAAAACATGTTTTATTATTATTTTTATTTTTGGAATCGTTGAATTTTAACTATATATATATAGGTTGTATATATTGAAAATCAACTATATGCTTGATCTGTGTGTGACCCAAGAGGGCTATTTATGGTTTATAGAATTTCTGGGAATTTTCTATAATTTTCTAGAAATTTTTTATATTTTTCTATATTTTTAAGAATTTATTATATTTTATTTTCCAATAATTGTTGAAAATTATATATAAGTATATACTATTTATATAGTATTATATATAAATATACACACTGGCGTCTGTGAAATGGGTGCCTCCATAGGGAATTGATCCAGTGTAGCGCGGCATAGGTAATAGTGTGTACACGTAGATCTTGACTCTTGGATGGTGCTGATGTGGGATGGATGATTCAGTGTGGTGCAGTGTATGAGATTTTGGTATTCATGGTCATCTGGACCATAGAAGTGGTCTGGTCAATAAGGAAATGATCTGGTGTAGCGCAGACCATGGAGAGTGGTGCACACTCAGATCTGGACCGTTGACTTATTCTGGTCAACAAATAAATTATTTGGTGTGGTCGCACTCATTGTAGCAATTAAGCTCAACCTATTATTTTTTATTGTTTTGTTACTCAAAATTTAAACGGTCATAACTCAGTCATCTTAAATCGAAATTGGGTCATTCTTGAATTCAAATTTAAGAATTTTTCGTCCTCTTTCCGATAATATCAATTTCATTCTCAAATTTTCATCATACTAAGAGATATTTATATTTTAGTGAGAAGGTGTTGAAAAATTATTTAAACTAATAAGGAATATTTATGGGAAACCATTTATGACGATATTTAGTAACATTTAATTTGCGTAAATATCATTAATTAATAGTTTGGCGATGGAAGGAATTATATATATACTTAATTATATATGTGTATATATGATTTAATTAATTTATATTTAGGATGGAAGGAAATATATGTGTGTGTGTGTATATATATATATATATATATATTGTTTAATATATGGGTATATGTATATATCATTTAACATAATTAAATTATTATTCTTATTTGATATATTATATTAGGCTGGTTATTAAATTAATCTTATGTATATAATATGTATGAAATGGTTATGTGTGAATTAATTTATTACTAAATTTAAAGTTGATACATAGTTGAATTGTAAGCATGAATGAGTTGTTATAGGCGAAAAATATATTGCTTAAGTATTTGTATGGATAAAGTACATACATAGGAAGTATGGCTGAATTGTTAATTTGAAAGTATAAATATGTATAGCATGGTTGAGTTGCCAATATATAAAGAAATATATTTATAGTGGTATGGTTGATTTACCAAATGTATAAATAAATAAACTTATGGAGGCATAATTAAATTGCAAATATATAAATAAATATATTTACAATGGCATTAGACAAAGATAAATTTAAAGAGTTTTTATAAAATTCTAACACAAATTAACTATTTATTTATTTATTATGATTTTTTTAATAAAAAGAAATATAATTAGACAATGATATATTTTAAGAAAATAAAATAATTTTTATAAAACTCTACTACAAATTACTTAATTTTTTTCCGCAAAACTCTATCACATTAGACAAATATATATTTAAAGAGTCCATATAAAACATTAACACAAATTACTTATTTATCTATTTATTATGAGTTGTTTAAATAAAAGGAAATCAAATTATACGAGTATTATTAATATAAAAATATTTATTAATTGATATAAAAAAGAGGTTTTAAAAGAGTTTCTATAAAACTCTTACACAATTTACTTATTTATCTATTTATTATTAGTTTTTTAATAAAAGTAAATCTAATTAGATAAGAATTATTAATATAAAAATTATTTATTACTGAAATATTTTGAAATTAATGGTAGAGTTTGAGTTTTGTAAAGTAAGAAATTCTTTTAGGTTTTATATTAATACTGAAATATTTATATTTTATATTTTTATTTATTAAGAAATAGTTTTTTATTTTTTTATTTTTTATTTTAAGACTAAAATTGGTGGTAGAGTTTGAGTTTGGCAAAGCAATAGATTCTTTAAAGTAATTTGAATTTTATTAGGTAATTTATAATTTGAATTTTATTAGGTAATATTTAAATAAATAAATATATATATAATAGTATAGTTTTGAATTTTATTAAGTAATTTGTAATTTGAATTTTATTAGATAATTTTAAATTTACAATAGAAATTCCATTATATTAATTTTTAATTAAATTTTAAAATAGAAATTCAATTATACTAATCATGCATTAAATTGAAATTGATATAAAAATTTATAATATGGAGTTTGTGATTTTTTGAAAGACCCTAGGTTATATTTTTTTATATTTAAGTATATCATTATCTAATGTGATAGAGTTTATAGAGAAAAAAAATATGTAATTCGTGGTAAAGTTTTATAGAAATTATTTTATTTTATTTAAATATATCTTTGTCTAATTATATTTTCTTTTATTAAAATACTCATAATAAATAGATAAATCTAGGGGTTATATGTGATAGAGTTATCTTTTTGTATTAATTAATAATTTTTTTATATTAAAAAATAAATACTGAAACGTAAAAACTCTTTATACTTTTATATTTTATTTATTTGTATTATTATATTATTATATATTTTATTTAAATATATCCTTGTCTACTGTGATTGACTTTTATAGAAAATAAAATAAGTAATTTGTGTTAGAGTTTATAGAAATTATTTTATTTTCTTTAAATATAACCTTATCTAATTAGATTTCCTTTTATTAAAAAACTCATAATAAATAGATAAATACATGTCATATACGATAGAGTTTTAAAGAAAATAAAATGGGTAATTTGTGTTAGAGTTTTATAAAAACTCTTTAAATATATTATTGTCAAATATGATAGAGTTTTATTGAAAATAAAATAAGTAATTTGTGATAAAATTTTATTGAAATTACTTATTTTCTTTAAATATATCCTTATATAATTAGATTTTCATTTATTAAAAAACTCATAGTAATTTGTGGTTGAGTTTTAGAAAATTTATTTTATTTTTTATATCAATTAATAAATATTTTTTATATTAATAATCCTTGTTTAATTAGATTTTATTTTATTAAAAAACTTATAATAAATAGATAAATATTTAATTTGTGTTAGAGTTTTATATAAACTCTTTTAAAAAATTATTTTATTTTCTTTAAATATATCATTACCTAATTAGATTTCCTTTTATTAAAAAACTCATAATAAAAGGTAATTTGTGTTGAGTTTTAGAGAAATTTTTTTATTTGTTCTATCAAATAATAAATTTTTTTATATTAATAATTCTTTTCTAATTGCCTATTTAATTTTAATTGGTAATTTATTTAATGATTTGAAACATTTTGATTGAATTTCAATTAAACAATTACCTATTAAATTTTAATTGATAATTTATTTTATTATTTGGTAAATTATTTTATTAAATAATTACCTATTTTATTTTAATAGGTAACTTCTTTGTTTTAATTTATAACTTATATGATTTATTTTAATTGGTAACTTATTTTATTATTTGGTAAATTCTTTTATTATTTTGTCTATAAATCATTTGGTACACTTTTTTCCTCTTGTGGATTTTGTAGTTTGCAGTTACAGGGACATAGAGAGAGCAACTTCAGAGTTGAGAACGAGAATAGAGATGGAGGCGATTACAGAGGTTGAAGAGAAGCCTAGGATTTGTAATGTCAAATGAGTTGGTTAAGTTAGAGAAACAAATGGTAAATTTTATCGCCAAAAACTAAATTAAATATTAAGCCGTGGTGGTGGATTCTTTCCTTTGAGATTTTTTCTATTATTTAATCCGAAATTATTTAGTTTTATTTATTTATTTTTAGTTCATTATTTAAAGATCATCAAATTGTTTTAAATTTTTTTCTTTATTCCTTTTAATTGATGTTTTGAATCTATGTTCAGAATCTAATTTGAGAGTAGTTCGACCTTACTTATCACTATATAGTATTTAATTTAGTCTTTGTAGATTTTTCTTTGTTTCTGCACGAAGTGTCAACAGAATCCATAAACCTACATTTGTTATTTTACCACAAATTAATTACTACCCTAACACAAATTATCTATTTATTAGACAAGAATATATTTAAAGAAAATAAAATAATTTCTATAAAACCCTACAACAAATTACCTATTTGTATAAAACTCTACCACAAATTACCTATTTTATTTTCTATAAAACTCTATCACATATAACCCGTATTTATTTATTTATTATGAATTTTTTAATAAAAGAAAATCTAATTAGACAAGGACATATTTAAAGAAAATAAAATTTTTTTTATAAAACTTTATCTATTTATTGGATAAAGATGTATTTAAAGAAAATAAAATAATTTTTATAACACTCTAGCACAAATTATTTATTTCTCATTACAACAAATTATGAATTCACCGGCGCTTTTTTAAAAATTTTAAGGGTAAAGTACACAGACACTCCCTGAGGTTTAGGATAAGGACATCCAGATGAAAATTCACCTATTTTTGGACAATGACACCCCTTCA